AACGGCCGGACCCCACCCATGCACGAATTCATGTACCAGGCCTCTAATATATAAATAACTTCATTATGACTTTTTAAAATGTCACATAAACAAAGTCTGTTGAATACTAGGTTTATAGTTTCATCCCTGTAAGGCATTTCTAAGGAGGTAAGGTAAAAAAACATGCCCCACCACTAAACTCCTATTCTCCTAGTCCCACTTCCTCTGCCCTTATGACTCCTATTTTACCTGACTCTAGGTTCTGGTCTCAGTCCTACTTTCACATAACATAGCACAGCTTCAATATGCATCTCTACCTTTCCTGACACATCCAGTTTCTGACTTTGCTGTGAAGGGAAGCAGAGAAGTGGGGTGGTATCTAGATTGGGTTGTTAGGTTGTAGATTTTCCTGTTTTATTTTGTTGTTGTCTTAACATGAAGTTGTAGACTATGTAAGATGATGGGAACGATCTCAGAGAAGAGGGGAGAGACTAATGATGCAAAGAGGAAAGGGAGTGTGAAAGAAGACTCCAAACAACTCATGCCCATGGGTTTAGCCTGCTGGGGAACTTCTCTTCCTAACCACCTGCTGATGGACCTTGGTCTTGCTTAGCCAGGCTCCACAAGTACATCAACGAATTCCTCATAATAAATTTCTTAAAATTCCTACTTCTGCTTTTCTGAATCCTGACTGATATAGAAGTTGATCCTCAAAAAGTCATTGAAAGGAAATAAAGTTACACACCAGCTTCTATAAAAGCAGAGAGGAGGTACACTTAACTGGGGAGGTGAAGGAAGATTTCTGGAATAAGATTTCACTTAAACTGACTCTTTAAAAATTAGTAAGGCAGCCCTAGCCAGTTTGGCTCAATGGATAGAGTGTCAACCTGCGGACTGAAGGGTCCTGGGTTCAATTCCAGTCAAGGGCACATGCCCGGGTTGCTGCTTGATCCCCAGTAGGGGGCGTGCAGGAGGCAGCCAATCAATGATTCATCATTGATGTTTCTATCTCTCCCTCTCCCTTTCTCTCTGAAATCAATAAAAATATATTAAAAAGATTAGTAAGGCAAGATAGGAAGCAGTGGTAAGTTAATGAACCAACTCAATGGAAAAAATAAACTCGATTTATAACATTTGATAACTGTAGTTAAACACTGGAAATTAGAGTGATCTATTCTCTTCAGCCTAAAAAAATAAATGTGATAGAAAGTAAAGGCATTAGGAGGAAGATGCAGTGTAAATAGTTGTTTTTGTGTTAATTAGCATAAATCTAATCACTTGTGGCTGGTGAAACTAAAGTGTCAAAGAGGGAAGTGCTTTAGAAACATTCACTACTATTATTTAATTTTTGGAATTTCAATATGGAATTGATATATTAAATTTATATATATACATATATATATATATATATATATATATACTTGCTGCATGCTACATTACATGAGAACTCTAGATTTGAAGAATTTTCATATCAGAATACAGCCTTCTAATCATAGGTTGCAGCAACAGTTTCTAAAGTCAAGGTGTCCCTTAATTAGAATTAACAGTTACAAGGAGAGTTTCATAATAAAAACTCTTACTGCTTTTCTTACTTTCAAGAAGACTAAACATTTTTCCTTATCTTGCTGAGATTTCTTTCACCATAATTATGAGGGTCTGTGGTTTTTCAAGGCCAAGTGCTAGAAAGCCATTAGTTAGCAACAACAGGAAAAAATAGGTCTGAAAGCTCAAAATTTACGAGTTGGAGAAGGAAAAAGGAGCAAAATGAGCTAGTTAATAACTGTAATATGGAGCATGTAATGCTGTACATCTATGCTTCCTAAACATAGATTCTAAGTATCTCTAAAGATTTGCATTTTGAATTGCTGCAAATTTTTTCCATTGGTATCAAAAGCTTGACATCAGCAAGGTGCAGTGTAGGTGTGTGGACAATGACTGAAGCTGTGGGGGTGCTAGGGGCAGGTAAAGTTGAGTCTTTCCACCCTTGTCTCTGTTGTGGACCATTGGGGTCACCGTCTGCCCCCTGTCCTCCGACACCTCTGAGCAGGGTATCTCAGGTTCTGTGGTATGGCTACAGCAATGGGTGTGGTACCAGAGAGAGATTTTCAATAAAATATCCAAGTCCCTCCCTCACTAGAGCTTATGTAAGTGGGGCAGGAACACTGCCGTCGGTCAGATTTGGCATTTGGATCATTAGAGGATCACTGGGATAAGGTATATACTCTGAGAGAGGCAGGAGTAGAATTTCTGATAGGGCCATCTGAAAATGAAGGTAGGGAGACCCAAAATTGCTTCCTGGCCCAAAGAGTATGAGGAAATGGAGCCAAGAAACAGGAGCCAGAAAGAAATTAGGTCAGAATAGAAATAGTCAGAACAAGCAAAAGAGATGTTGGGTAATTCTGTAATACCCGTAACACTAAATAAAGTTGCCTGAGCTTATCTTATTGGTTTACTGAAGGGATGCAGAAGCACTGGGATGGCTTCAAGGTTACAATCCCTTCAACTTCATGTTTCCCCACTTAGAATCTATATTTGTTCCTATCCTTTTTATTTTCCTTGTAATTATGGAAAATGGAATGTCTCTTATTCAAGTCCAGCATATTCACCTATGTACTGAACTCTATGCCCATCATCCCAATCAATATCCAGCAAAGATTAAGTAGCTATTATGCCCCTTCTCCTCCTGGTTCTTCCTCCTTCAAAAATCCCCCTACTGCCTGGGCAGCATGATTTTGTGATTGAGCGTCAACCTATGAACCAGGAGGTCATTCATTTTTCTGTCAGGGTACATGCCCCGGTTGTGGGCTCGGCCCCCAGTAGGGAGCATGCTGGAGGCAGCCAATCAATGATTCTCATCATTGATGTTTCTATATCTCTCTCCCTTTCTGAAATAAATAAAAATATAATTTTTAAAAATCTCCCTACTTTCTCGTGTCTCTTTCTCGTTTGGATCCTTCCTCTATAAAGCCTTTTAAATATGCTCATGATTTGTTCATTAAAACAAAAGTAAAACAGAAACAAAAGCCTTCCATTGTTTCTGTATCCCTTCTTAACCACTATTAAAATCATGGGATGGGTCAGAGGTTGGAGTTCACTGCTTGAATTTGGCTTTAAAAGACAGGTGAAAATAAATTAGGGATGTTAGAAAGACAATGGTTCAGATTGCCAATCATAAGAGCCCAGTCTGGTAAGGGAAAGAAAATTAAACTATAAGGAAAGAGTCTGATAGAGAGAATATGAGTATTTTCAGAAATCTTAGAGCTGGATGAGGTCAAAGAGACAGTAATGGGAGAAAGGGTTACGAGAACTAGATAGATTGAAGCAAAGGTTACAATCAAATAGTTAGATATTAAAGCTTAAAATTTCTGATGAGGAACAATTTTTGGTGAATGATAAAGGGCTTGGCCATGGATAGCCAAAATAAATTAAATGTTTCTAGAACTGAGGAGGCCAAAGAAGAATAGAACATTACATGAATAGTTCACATGGATATGACTATCACTCAAGATGAGAGCTACATATGGATTAATCAAAAAGACTGTAAGCCAACTCAAGTCTTCTGTGAATAAAGGAGAATACCCAAGATAGGAGGTAAGTAATTAGGAGGGAGAGAAGAATCTTCAGCTAGATGAAACAAACTTCAAATAAAATGGAGGTTTTACACAAGGAAGTAAGAATAATTGTTTGTCAGTTCATTGTGGAATTAGCATGACCAGTCTAATTCTCAGTCCTAATGCGGTGAGGCACAGAAATAATTACTTGCCATTAAAAGGGCAAGGGGTTGTGGTAACCTTGAGGGAGAGCTACTAGAGGAGGAGATGACTTGAGTAGGGAGAAGACCAGTTGGAAACTGGTGAGAAAGAACGATGGCCCTAGTAGTAAAATACAAAAAAGGAAATATGTTCTAAAGATACAAAAGAGATGGGTTGCTTTGGTAACTGATTAAGTGTAAAGACTTAGTAGGAAGAATAAAGGATGACTTTCAGGATTCTGTTTTGGGCAAGTGGGTGTATGAATGTGCTCTTTACTAAAACAGGAGGAGCAGGTTTGGAAGCAAAGATAATGCTGAATTCCCAGACACTGAACAGTTCCTGAAACAAAGAAGGGCATCTAAACTCTAAGGGTCCCCAGAGACTTACAACCAGGGGAGCAGTGGGCAGCGGCAGCTCGGCTGGGGCTAACCCCCTGAACCTGGCTCCAGGCCCCCTTTTCTCTGACTTCTCAGGGAGCCAAAGCAGCCCCACCTAGGCCCATTTCTTTCCTACCACATTTCTAGAGCCCAAACCGCCAGCTAGGCTCTTCCCTGTTGCTTCTTCTACCCTAAGCCCTTCCTTGTTTCGCTGTCCCCAGCTGTAATAAACATGCCCTAAAAAACAAAACAAAACAAAACAGTAAAGAAACTCCACCTGCCCCGCAAATCCAAACTTGCCCACCAGGCCGTGGGAACAGGAAACCAAGGGCGTGGCAAGGGCAGGCCTCCGGCTCGGTGCAAGGCGGGACTGCGGGGAAGCCTCTGGTGAAAGCAGGCAGGTCATCCACGGACTTGGCAGCTACTGCGCAGGCGCACGCGGCGGCGAGCCGATGCCTTTTAAGCATACCGGAAGTGACGTCTCTGACGCTGGGACAGGTTCAGGACCTGAGCGACTGGCTTAGGCGAGCAGCGCTGGGGCTGTGGTCCTGCAGTCGCTATGAGCTGCACCATCGAGAAGATCCTGACCGACGCCAAGACGCTGCTGGAAAGGCTGCGGGAGCACGATGCGGCCGCGGAGTCGCTGGTGGATCAGTCGGCGGCGCTGCACCGGCGGGTGGCCGCTATGCGGGAGGCGGGGACGGCGCTTCCGGACCAGGTCAGGCAGAGGAGGGCTTCGTGCCCTCAGGTTCTGGGCTCTTGACCGGTGGAGGGTGAAGTCGAGTGGAACCTCGGCCTGGAATGTATTCCTGGTCCGGGGTGGGGGGTGGGGGGTGCGGCGGTGAGACCTTTCTGCGGGATCGGGGCTGAGAACGCTGCCCTGGAGCCCTGCCTCCTGCCTCTTCGGTCGCACCTGTGCTTAGTCTGTCTCTGTTTGTCCAGTATCAAGAGGATGCATCCGATATAAAGGACATGTCCAAATACAAACCTCACATTCTGCTGTCCCAAGAGAACACGCAGATTAGAGACTTGCAGCAGGAAAACAGAGGTTAGTCAGGCCTTTTTGTGTAGTTATTGTGACTTTCTCATTCCCAGTAATAATGCGAAAGTTCTCGCAAAACTGCCCAACCGTTTACTAAAATGCATTGTATTTCCAAATCAGTACTTTTAGTAACAGAAGTATCCTGTGCTAAGTATCCGGTCCAGTAAAATAAAGTTGGTTACATTGCCCTTTTCAAGGTTGTCTGTATTTATAGGCAGCTTATCAAAGAGTGCTTAGTAGAGGTGAATTAGAGTTTATATCCTCAAGGGATTAAAATGTAAAGTTTAAATATTCAAATGTACTACAGTTAAGATTGAAAAGTTTTTTAAAAGATTGAAGAGTTTTTTAATGTTCTTGTACGAAGTGGAAGAGCTGAGTCTTATACTCAGGATGTATATTCTTAGGCTTGATAAGTACATTATTAGTGATAGAAGTATGAATAGTTATTTGTATGTCAGTTGACAGAGGACTTCCACATATATCATCCCATTGTATTCTTATATTTTCATATAGAGGTATATGAGCTAGATAAGAAATAGGCTCAGAGAGGTTAAATAATTTGCTTAAGAGTATTAAGCTAATAACTCAGAGAACTGAACTCAAACCCATGCCTTCTGATTCCAAATCCCATGTTTCTACCAAACTATGCTGCCTCTGCCTAGAAAGTTATGTTTCACATTGACCTTAACTGTTGTATTTTGTGGACTTAAACAATGATTTACAAATTTGGAATCACAATATCTCATGGAGTGTCATAAAATCCCAACTGTTAAGAGTTTGGCTTTGAAGGCTCGCTCTCAGACATCACTGCCAAGTTATTTTATTTTTTGACAGAACTGTGGGTTTCCTTGGAGGAACACCAGGATGCTTTGGAACTCATCATGAGCAAATACCGGAAACAGATGCTACAATTAATGGTTGCTAAAAAAGCAGTGGATGCTGAACCAGTCCTGAAAGCTCACCAAACTCACTCTGCAGTAAGAAAGTTTGATAAATTCTAAATGAACTGAATTGAAATCTTGAAATTGTGTTACCTTGTGTGCCTGTTTTTGAAGAAGAGTAAGCTTTTTTTCCTTTCGTGTTTATCACATTCACTGTTGGTTCTGCTGTACCTTTGTAAAGATTTGAATAAAAAGAAGGATAAGGGGCCTTCAGGTCCTTTCATTTGAATAGGACTATGGATCCTTTCTCCCTCACCAATATCTTTCCAAGATGCTAATGAATGCTTAGTTCTTCCACCAAACATAATGCTAGTTAGTGTCAAAGAGGCTCAGTAAATACCTGATTGGTTATGATTGTACATTTTACTAACTTGTAAGCTTCTTGGTTATAAGAAGCATAAATTCATCTTTTATCCCTAACATAGTACCTGGCATATAGCAGGCTGTCAGGAAACTTTTATTAAACTGAACCACATAACATCATGCTCATTAGGAGACAAAAGTATGGTTTGAAAATACATATACAGCCCTAGCTGGTTTGGCTCAGTGGATAGAGCGTTGGCCTGCGGACTGAAGGGTCCCAGGTTCAATTCCGGTCAAGGGCATATACCTTGGTTGTGGGCACATCCCCAGTAGGGAGTGTGCAGGAGGCAACTGAATTGATGTTTGTCTCTCATCAATGTTTCTAACTATCCCTCTCCCTTTCTCTCTGTAAAAAATCAATAAAGTATATTTAAAAAATAAATAAATAAAAATACATATATAGGGCATCATTTCTACACTTTGGTTGATTATGATTGAACTTGAGAGGCCCAGTAATTGTTCTTATGTCTGTAGAGTGCTTTATGGTTGTCCTTGTACATTCACATGTACTGTATCATTTAATCATGGATTAATAGATTAGTGCCTCACTATTTGCTGCAGTGAAATTTAGGAAAAGTTTCATCCTAGATTCCACTGAAAGCATTTTACTGACTTAAAAGTCTTAGGGAACAGCGATGCTTTAAATATGTGAATGGCTTTCATATGGAAGAGAAAGATAAATTTTATTTTCTTTAGACTACAGGAGAAAATTTGAACCTTGAAGGAAACAGGTTTTAGTTCATATGAAAAACTTGTTAAAAGCCGAAACCGGTTTGGCTCAGTGGATAGAGCGTCGGCCTGCGGACTGAAGGGTCCCAGGTTCGATTCCAGTCAAGGGCATGTACCTGGGTTGCGGACACATCCCCAGTTGGAGATGTGCAGGAGGCAGCTGATCGATGTTTCTCTCTCATCGATGTTTCTAACTCTCTATCCCTCTCCCTTCCTCTCTGTAAGAAATCAATAAAATATATAAAAAAAAAAAAAGAAAAGAAAAACTTGTTAAAAGATACGAACAGCACTGGCTGGTGTGGCTCGGTTGGGTGAGGTCACATGCACCAAAAGGTTGCTGGTTTGATTCCCAGTCAGAGTACGTGCCAGGGTTTCAGGCTCCATCCCCAGCGGGGGAGTATGCAGGAGGCAGCCGACCGATGTTTTGCTCTCACATTGATGTTTCTCTCTCTCCCTTCCTCTCTCTCTAAAAATAAGTAAAAATAAAAAAAGGTAAGTCCAAAGATGGAATAAGGTACCTTTGAATGTGTTGACCTTCTTGCCAATAAAAGTATTCAAGTTTAAGTTAAGAAGCCCCTTAGAGATGCTGTCCAACATCCAGCGGGTGGTTAGCCTAGAATCGATCTTTTGAAAACAAATTATTTGTGAATACCACAGGATAATTTTATTATGGATTTACCTCTGAGGACTCAGATTATGGTAAATTGGCTGTGTAACCTCTGTAGCATAGATTAAATTTTTAACATCATAATGGACATATTCTCATGAACTTCATATCTGTAGAAAAGATGACTTTTTCACCTTTCTTGTGTTATCTTCACAGGAAATTGAGAGTCAGATTGACAGAATCTGTGAAATGGGAGAAGTGATGAGGAAAGCAGTTCAGGTGGATGATGACCAATTTTGTAAGATTCAGGAAAAACTAGCCCAATTAGAGGTAAGCTTGTTGCTATTTTAGGTTCACAGTATTTCAGCAAGTTTTCATAGAGTCTGGAAGAATGCCATCGCCATCCTGTCACTGCAATGTATTGAAGTTTTCTGTGTGCTTCTCCTGATTTAAAATTAAAACTCCTCCATACCCTTTTCATAAAAGGAAATGTAGTCAGCAGCAAGCAATGAAAATGCCAATTATGTACTGGCTAGAAACTGAGATGTTATCATATCCAGGGGGCAGAGAGTGTGGACAGGACACATTACGTGTGAATTAAAATCCCTCATCTGCCATTAAAGGAAGTCAAATAGTTAATGTCTAAAGTTGATGATAAGGAAATAGCAGTACAGGCATATTATTTAAAACTAGAGGTCCGGTGCAAAAATTTGTGTACTCAAGGCGGTGGGGTCCCTCAGCCCAGCCTGCACCCTCTCACAGTCCGGGAGCCCTTGGGGCATGTCCGACTGATGGCTTAGGCCCGCTTGGACATCCTTAGCACTGCTATGGAGGCAGGAGAGGCTCCCACCACCGCCGCTGTGCTTGCCAGCAGTGAGCCTGGCTCAGGGCTTCTGGCCAAGTGATGCTCCCCCTATGGGACCGCACTGATCATCAGGGGGCAGCTCCTGTGTTGACCATCTGCCCCCTGGTGGACAGTGCGTGTCATGGTGACTGGTCATTCCGCTGTTTGGTAAATTTGCATATTAGCTTTTTATTATATAGGGTGATTATAGAAGTAAATACTAAAGAAACAGATAAAAGTATTAAAAGTGGTTGCCTTTGGGGAACAAAGCCAAGGATAACTGTTTACTTTATAAGCCTTGTAATCTTGATTTTTTTTAAAGCTATTTTCATAAAATATTTTGATTAAAATTGAAATACTCTACAAAGAAAGGCCTGGGGTGTTAGTATGCCCATAAAATGGTTAAGGAAATTCAAATGGGCCTGACTCTGCCACATATATTCTATAGGAGCTGGGAAAGGCTTGGTGACAAAGAGATCTCTCTCTAGCCTTTCCCACATCAGAGATTGGCTCCCACGTGGAAAAAAAAAAATGGTTAAGGAAAAACATAGATGGTTTGAATGCTGCTGATTACTAGGTGCTATCATGAGCCCTTTGAGAAATAACAGAAAAAAAGAAAGCTAGGATCCCTACTCACAGTCTAGTAAAAGGAACAAAACTGGTACAGCAGGTCCTTGAATAATTTCATTTTGTTCAATGTCATTTTATTACAACATTGATGAGATATTATAGGAACTTAACTCTTGTTTATATCATTTAGCCTATGGTAGAATTGGTTTCTTTATACATTGTTTTGCTTAAAGTCGCAGTACCTATTGATAACTTTAAATGAAGACTTATTGTACTTATGTGAAAGTATTATTAGGAATTTGAAAGATAGAAGATACTGTAGCAAGACTTGGGGAACCAAAAAGAGTATTACAAGCAGTAAATTCATTATATATACTTATATATACATATACATACATACATACATATATATAT